ATCTCCTGTTGAGTTCGTAGGTGTTCAGAATGGTTTGATCCCTATCCAGCTGAATTCCTGAGAGGAGACGAAATCCAGGTCTCCTACTCCTCCACCATCTTGCTCCGCCTCGAGAAATGAGGATTTTTAATGTAATGTTCCTAAGCTTTCCTGAGTCATATTTATGCCAGACTCATTGGTGCTCATTATCTCAGGGTAGAGTAAAACCAGTTAAAACTAAGCTTGGGAGTAACAGTAGATTTTGAAAACTTGGGGCGACTCTCTTGCTGGTGGCTGTTTACAGGTCAGGAATTAAATCTAGATGGTGTGTCTTGTTTCCTGTTGGTCAATGGAGATTGAATTTTATTGTTTTTATGAAGAGTGCCAGCCGATGGTCTTTACTGTCTTGGGTTGTCCTCCCACTTTGGGTCCTGGTTATAAGGACTGTGCTGTCCCCAGCCCCTGAAGCACTGCAGGTAGAGGGCTGCAGGTCTGGGGCATGGCTTGCTCTTTCATTTTATCAAAACCTAGAAACAGCTTTCTTCCCTTTTTTTCCAGCCGTAGATTTGTATTTTCAACCATGGCCATGTAGTCTTGAATGAAATTGCTTGTCTTTCTGAAATAATAGAGCATTTCCCAACCAAACCATGCAGCATGGAGAGCTTCAGCCTGCAGTTGATGGCAGTTCTCACCACACTGGGTTGTGATTTTATGATCCGGTCTCCGTGACCGGCTGTACATGCACCCCTGAACCTGGAGTCTGTCTGTGTCTTGGTCTGGAAAAGCGATGTTATCCAGCAGTCTGGCCAGTTCCCTGCGGTCTTTGTCTCTTGCTACCTCTGGCTTTCTTACCCAGAGTCCCGTGGACAGGGAACACGTGTAGTAAGTGTAAAGCTACGTCACAACATGGAAACCTGCCGGGAAGGTTTTGTTGCATGGTTTCTCGTCAGGTAGGATGGAAACCCAAAAATAACATTGACTTCCACAAGATAAACGTTTAGTTCTCTTATGTCAACATCTGCAGGTGGTCGGTCTGATGCATTGCTTTGGTGGGCCAGGAATCTAGTTCTTCCATCTGATGGCTTTGTCCATGACCCACATTCCCAACATCACTCCAGGGTCCAGGATGGCTCCCAGCAGCAGAAAGGAAATGAGAAAAGGAGAAGAGCAGCCTCCCTCTCCACTTCATTCCCCTGATGTTTCTCAGGAGATGTATGCACTGTGTCTGCTTAAATCAAGGGACTACACCTTATAGCCGGAGAGTCTGAGAAACATACTGTCTTTATTCTTAGCGTTCCTATGTCTGGCTAAAATAACTAAGTTTTATTACCGTGTGGAGGAGGGAATATGGCTTTTGGGGACAACTGGCAGTGTATGTCAGGGTGGCAGAGGGAAGTTACGAGAGCAGAGTCTTGGTGCTAGGTGCTTTCCACTGATGCAGTGGGAAAAGACCATGCAGGGGAGAGGACACCCCCCTCACCACCGTGGATGCTCCCTATCAAGTCCTCACCCCGGGCTCGGGGAGGTGGTGACCACAAGACAGCTTTTCCTTCCTTCTTCCCTCTGCCAGTTACCCTCTTTATTAACTCCTGGGTAACCGGCTGAGTGGCATGCAGAAGAGTCGGTCAGCCTGGCTGCAGGGGAAGGGGCACCGAGCTAAGGTCTGGCTTCAGGCTGCTCTGTCACCATGTGATGTTCACCAGGTGGGGGCCGTGGCAGCCCCTGAGAGCCTGCCTCCCCATTTCTTGGTGTGTCAGTGGCTAGATGCCAACTGGGCACAACCACCACGTCCAGGTAACGGGCCAGTGACTGATTTACGTAGAGAGCCTTTACAAAACATTTCTAAATGTTTTGGTTTGAGGCCATATAGAATAGGTTCTATGACTGTTTCATAGTGAGGCGCTGCCCGTGAGAGCAGAATACCCAAGTTAAACGTCAAATTTAATTTTTTGAGTAGATAATGTTTTCTCACGGTTCATTTATCATGATGTTATAAAAAGGTTTACGCTGAGAATTTCTGTTTCCATTTCATTCTCCCACCACCCCCCATGGGTAATCATTTTTATTATTTCTGTGTGTGTAAGCCTCCAGCTTTTATTTGTATAAACACAAGCAATTACAAGTATATATATTTATTTTGTATATTATGTATATAACTTATGTACATAATTTGTGTATAGTCTGTCTCTTCTTCCATAAAAAGTAACATTCTCTCTCCACTCTTCTGCACCTCGCATGTTTCCCTTACTAGCATATTCCACAGGGCTTTTCCTACCGGTATCTTGTCCTTTGTTGCAATACGGGGGTCCCGGCACCCATGGAGCGATGGCGACCCAGCTGGAGGAGCACCCACAGTTGGTTATCACAGTCGGTGGCTCTGGGAGTTTACGCAGGGACAGCCCTTTCCATGTGGCTCCCCTTCCATCTGATTCCTTCCCCCATTACAGTCGTGAGGAGCAGGGGAGGATGCCCTTGTTTTGTTCTAGCTCTCCATAGTTCCGTGCTTTTATTGTTATTCCTGCTTCACCTGGCTGTGCGGCGGAGGCGTGCTCCAGCCCTAGTCCTCTCCTGCAAGACCCGCCTCTTTCTGCGGTTTAACGTACATAACGTCAGTGCTGACACTCATTTATTCTTTGCGGCTCTTCCATAGCCCTTGTTGCTGGAGGGCTTGCAGAGGCAGGTAGGAACCTGGAGGCCTTCCACACCTGTCTGTCTGTCCTGGCAGGGTCAGGGGAGCTGGGCCCAACTCAGGGTCTTGGCGAAGACCTTCCCATGTTCCAGTTGTGGTCAGAAGTTGAAAGGATCTGCCGGGAGCCCCTCTGAAGGCATCTTGATTACGAGTCCCTGTCTCCCTCTCTTGAGCTATTTGACTGTCAACTGTTTTGTTGTAGACTTTGGCCTAAAACTTTTTATAATAAGAGTCAGTTCACCAGGGCATCTGTGTTCTTTGTGATTTATGGCTGCGGTGGGCGCATCCTGTGCCTTGCTGACTGACTTGTCCTGGGCCGCCATTTTTGTACTTGGATTGTGGGTAACTTGCCTTTGAGTATGGCAACAACTTTTCCTACGTCTCTCACTTGTGTGTTTCTTGGGGTTTTCCTCACATTGCTACTTACTGAACTGCAATGAATCCCAGATTAAGGACCTCCTTCATGCTCTGACTTCCACATTCCGAAACCAAGGATCCTCTAGAAATCAGTACAAGGCTCAGTCCTCATTAAGAAATAATTGGGACCAAAGTGGCTCTCTGTTTTATTAGTCAGTTGATAAATCCCTCTGAAAGCAAATTGGGCCAATGAGTTGCTAACCCAATTAACATCTGTTTATAGGACTAGAATATTCTATGTGGCTCTTCCTAGGAAGTCAAGTGGTCTGGGGCAGGTTGCCCTGCAGAGCTGGGCAGTTGTCAGCCTGTTGAGTTAGGAGGGGCAATGGAGAGGTGGTGACCATCCTCTGGAAACTTGTGACAGAAAGCCTGGCAGCCAGCAAAAGGAATGGCTGTTGAGGGAGGAGCCATGTCCTTCTGGACCTGGAGTTCAGCTGTTTTTCAGGTGGTGGCAGAGGACCAGAGTGTATGCAGCTTAGAATCACTTCATGATGGGCAGGGCCTGGAGTGGCCATCCAGAATGCAAGTGGCGGCTGGCCGCAGGCTCTGTGTGGCTGTTCTAGGCCTGGACACGCTGTTTAGAGTCACAGGTTCCACTTTGTTGGAACTATTTTCTGAACCTTAAAGGATTTCTGGAGTTGACAACATGTGTTCGGCTGCATATTCATTACTTTGGCAAATATGTACTGAGCCCCACCCATGTGCCCGAGCCATTTTGGGCACTGGTCCCCACCCATATAGGCATCCCTGTTTACCATGTGCATGTGAGTGCTAAGGACATGCTTTTGTTGACTAGAACCATTCACTTTCCTTAACCTCAGTATCTCTGAAAATGCTTATTTTGAGACTTGAGTTACCGGTAAATATGGGAGACTTTTTGCATTGTGCCCCTGGGGTGGGGGCCATGCACCCATTTGGCAGCTCTGTGTCCTAAAGTATATGTTCTTTGTTTGACAGCCCTGGGGGAGAGGCCTCACTTGTTGGCTTCGTCCCTCTTTCCTCTGGGACACCCTGTCTCATAGTCCCTCCCCCCTCCCCAAAGCCAGTATTCAGGGGTGCTTCTGGAAAGGGCTCGGTGAGTGCCCTTGCGGCTCTGGGCCATGCAGAGCAGGGAGGCCTGTGGCCTACGGGGTCTGGTGACAGCTCCCTTGGGGATCATTTACTAGGCCTCTGGAGCGCCCCAGGCCAGCAGTGGCCAGGGGCCTGGGGGTGGGGGGCCACACACGACTGTTTGGAGCAGCTTCCTCTTCAGGACTGTGAAGTGGGTGTTATGCTCTTTGACTCTTTTTTTCTAGTGACACAAAACAAGGGACACTTGGTGCTGGTGGATTCATGCCCTTTGGATTCTCCGGTGTCCTGTCGGGGGCAGCGACCTGCTTCTATGCCTTCGTGGGCTTTGACTGCATCGCCACCACAGGTATGGCGCCCGCCGGCCGAGTGGGGCCGGGGCTGCGGGGCCTCCTCTCCCACCAGGCAGGCCGGCCTAACTTTACCCACAGGTTGCTCTTTTCCTTCCTGTGGGCCTGTGCTGGCTGCCGCTCCTTCACACATGGGTGACGTGTCGATTTGTAGCTTCCTGCTAATCTTTTCCCCCTTTATCACTTCCCCAAGTGGCCGTGCCTGACAGGAAAGTCTGCATCACGAACATGACTAACCGTCGTGCTGCTGGGACGGGATAATGACAGCGTCGCTGCAGCCCGATTTCATATCTGGGCGTCATCCGGGAGAAATGAGGCCATTGAAAATACTGTTATCCGGGTGCTTGAATAGGCTGGGCTCAGTCGGGCCTCCTGAATTTTCTCTGCCAGAGGAAACAAGGCTTTTCCTTGGCTGGACCAGGGCGTAAAGGCCGAGAACACCATCCCTGGGCGTTACGGGTCCTCCAGCCCGTGTGCGGAGGGCCGCCTGTGGTTCCCAGAAGCCCGAAGACCCTGGTTCCCGTAGGGCTGAGCACGTCAGGGGCGCCATTTGTGGGTGGCATGGGCATCTTGTGAGCTCGTGGGGATGCCCCTCACTGTCTTGCCCTCCGGGGCCTGACTCCTTGCTGTTTCTAGGTGAAGAAGTCAAGAACCCTCAGAAGGCGATCCCCGTGGGGATTGTCGCGTCCCTCCTGATTTGCTTCATCGCTTACTTCGGGGTGTCTGCCGCCCTCACGCTCATGATGCCATACTTCTGCCTGGACAAGGACAGCCCCCTGCCCGACGCCTTCAAGCATGTGGGCTGGGAAGGTGCCAAGTACGCGGTGGCCGTCGGCTCCCTCTGCGCTCTTTCTACCAGGTGAGGCCTCTGAAGCTCTTGGGAGGGTACGCTGTAGTAGGCCATGTGAGGCCTGACACACAGGAGAGCCGCTCATCTCGCTCTTTTCCCCTGAAATAGAACCAGCACCCCAACCCCGATGATGTGGTTTCTCCTCTTGTTGTTAGCAACCATCCCATGAGTTGTTATTGATATTTTCATCCTGAAGCCTCTGAGGCCCACTTTCTGACATCTGCTCAGCAAGGGTCTGGCTTGCTGTCCCCAACCTTGGCCCCTGCCCCGGGCCACCTCTTTGAACACTGTATTTTGGCCCTTTGTTTGGCCATAATGCAGAGGCTACCTTGAAAAAGGGAGTAATGCCTTTTTTTTTTTAAAGATTTTATTTGAGAGAGAGAGCGAGAGAAAGAGAGCACAAGCCGGCGGTGGGGGGGGA